CAATATCACATTTTATAGGGCATACACGAGTCGTGTTGGCACTTCAATTGACACATTTCATATTGCTTGATTTTCTTTCGTTTGTGCTCGAGTTTCCATTTTTATAGAAAATTCTACTTTTTCTTTCAACTCTTGCGATTTTCGTGGCTTTCGTCTCATGTCTCGTATTCCAAATTTAATGCGTTCTGTTTGTCTTTCTGCTTGTTGATAGAGTCTGCTGCCGGAAGCAGTCGAGGGGCGCTGGGGTGGCACCCTGCCAGGCGGTGTGGGCAGAGGGGGAGGCATGGCGCACAGACTGCACCAAAGTCGACTAATTAAATATTTTTAGTCAAAATGAAAATGAAAATTTTTCGCCTATATATTGCGAGTGAAATGCTCTGCTTACTGCAAATACCCTGTAAAATAGTTGATGGATGGTTCAGAAATAGATAAATAATAAGATATATATATTTATGAGATTTCCCTGACAGTGATTTTCTTTTATGTGATGGGAATAGAAGATGCAGCTGCAGATTTTGCTTCTTCTTTTCTTCTTCTTTCTTCTGCTTTTTTTTCTTCCTGCATGCTTGCCTAGGCTGCAGGGTATCTCCGCGTTGCTCAACTACTTTGACTTGTTATTAAAACTTGTTCCTTTCATATTTCTTTACTACAGGGTAGCCGAATTTCATTTGCAGCTCGTGTTTCGGCTCTGTTCTTGTTTCTCTTCAGCTTGTTTGTTGTTGTTTGTTTTGTTTTTTGTTTTTCCCCTCCTTTTTTTTGTGTTTGTTTTGCGCCAAGTCGGAAAATGTTGGCCGGCTGGAATTTGGCGCCGAGCCGAAGTACGCAGCAGCCATATCAAAGGGTTTCCTTTTGATTTTCCCTCTCTCACGCTCTGTCTCTCCCTCTCTATCTCTGTTTCTCTGTCTCTCTCTCTCTCTCTGTCTCCGTGCAACATAAACAAAACCAAAACTTGCCATCATTTTTGCCAAAAAGTTACTTTCAGCCGGGCCAACAGCAGCGCAGGTACAACGCCATGAATGTTATCAAACAGACGCCAAGATAATTGAAAATTGACACCAGAAAAGTTTGCATTTTTCTCTTAATTAAGCTGAATTTGTATTTGAAATTCATTTACGAATTAATTGAGCAAGTGATGCAAGCTTAGATGAGCTGAGAGCAACATATACATATCTATATGTCTGGCTTATCATATGCCCAAATATTTGCTTGGCTCTGTCGGGCATTACTGACTAGCCCATGCTTGTTTAAGACCAAAATTATTCTGCAGCTCAATTGCAAAGGGGTGTGTGTGTGTGTGTGTGTGTGTGCAGATGTCTGTAGAGGATGCCCACAGGGGCCATGGGCATACATGTATAGGGGAAGTATTTTATTTACTTGCAATTGTCTTCTATGGATGGCATCAAGGCAGGCCTCTATGATATACTAGCTGGATAAGCGTTCAGTTATATATAGTTTCTAATATGAGTGGCCGTGCTTCAGGTTGTTTTGGAGGATAATCGAAGAAAGATAACGTAGGATGTCAGCAGGAGAGTCAAGCGAGACAAGAGTCTTAGTCTGTTAAGGTGCGTAGGCATTCCACAGCGGCATGATAGAATATAGAGCATATAGAATATATCTGTATGATCGTTAAATATATAGAAAAAGTTAAGTAAAGGCATATGATTCACCATTTCAACTAATTTCATATATGATATAATCATATTATTATTATTATTCTAGGAGGCCTTTTATTTATTTTCTAATTTTCTTATTTTCACACAGACGCTCTCTCTCATTCCAGTCAAGCTGAAATCTGCCGATAACTTTCTTCTTCTTCTTCTTCTATTACTCAAAAAGGCACGTCACGTATCGACGACCTCCCCAGCCACCGATATAGTTAACTATCGATAGATGTGTATCTATCGATGGTTAACCATAGTGCTGTTCCCTTAAATCTTTTACTAGCCTGCTACATTATTGTTATTATTATTATTATTATAATTATTGTTATTATTATTATTATAATTATGATAATTATTATTATTATATATGCGTACTGCTGTACTCTAAGGTCTCTTCAAGGCATGTTGAAATGAAGGTAAGAGTAATCTTAGTAATCTCTTAGTAATCCCCATAGCACCTTCGATGTAGGCCTCTGTATTAGGCAACTATTGTTTCCTGATGTAAGTGGAACTGATAAATGTAGTATATACCGCATATGCAAGTTGATCGTCACATACTTCATTTTATTCCTCTAAAATGGAATATCCATCAGTCAATCTCTGGCCTAGCATCAATCCTAGCTGCCTGGCTTAAGTCTAAGAGCAAATATGGAATTTCCATGAGCTGAAGCTGTTCGAGTGAATAAAAGCCCCACGCTAGGCATAGCTTAACTTGCAATTATGAATAATCATAAAATAAATCAACTTGAACTGAAGTTTTTAAGTTCTTGTATTTGTCAAGTTTGATCGAAATATTTCGCAGAATGTGAATTTCATACAAGAGCGAGACTGCCGCACAAGGAAGCTATTAAAAAGGCTCTGGCGATGCGCGCCAAAAATGTGCTGTAAAATTCTGCTCGAAAAAAAAGAAGAAAAAGAGAAGAAGAAAACGAAGAGAAAAAGAAGAAAATTAACGCTAAAAGTGTCAAATGAAATGAAATGCCCCAGTGACAAATACGAATATAAACATCAGGGCAGAGTCGCGTACATGCACAGTTAGCTGACACACACTTACACACACACACACACACACACACACACCTGTCACGTGTAGGCCAAATGAAATTGAAATATTCAAGACGTCCCCGACGACAACATAAACTGCAAAGTTCTCTCTGTATATCTAGCCCCAAGCAGCGCATGGGCGTGGCACAAAAGAGAGGGGGATAGGGGGGCTGGTAGGGTGGCTGTCTGTAAGGACGTACGCTGCGTGTCGTTTATATAACGTATTGACATGGCATGACTTGACGCGGCTTTAAATTTAACTAGAAGTGGCTGACAGAGCAGAAGACGCAGCGCATATTTAAAAATGCCTAAGTGGAACGTCTGTTGCTGTATATATATTTTTTTTACATGCACACACACACACACACACACACACACACACACGCACACACACGCAGGTTGGCAGCTTGCTCGTGCGCCAACTGATTAAAGTTAATATGCACTCATATTGGATTATGAGTGCTGTCAAATGAGGTCTAGCTGCGTGCGTGCCGCGGGGGCGGGCTGAGCAGGAAGGGGGGGGGCGGGGGGTTAGGGAGGGGTGCTGACAATGTAAGGCACTCAACTTGAAAGCCTAAAGAAATAGACCAACGCAAATGTGTCGCGAGTGTTAATGTTGTTGCTCTTGTTCTTCACATTGTTGCTGGTTGTTGCTGTTGTTGTTGTTGCTGTTGTTGTTGCTGTTGGTGCTGTTGTTGTTGCTGGTTGTGTGGTTGTCGCTGATGCGCGCTACTTTAGCGCGCTTCGACGCCTTAATAGGCCCGGCTATATGACAGTGAAGTCAATAGGAGCCAGCGCTGCCCCTCCTCAGCCACTTCCCCCACCCAGATCCTCACCCACACACACATCCACAGCTAGCTGCCACTCAGCCGCTCTACGTAAACAACTTAAAGGCGACATACATCAAACGACGCACACACACACACACACACAGACACACACATAAATCTGCCTGTGTGTGTGTGTGCGTGTGTGCACATGTTTCGTTATCCTTGGCAGCTTTCTGGCGGAGCCGAAGTTTGAGCACCATCTAGCAGAAGCGTGCAAGCAAATGACATACTTTTAGCCAAGTTTTAAAACGCGTTAAGGTGCCCAGCGCAGTGTCAGCGACTAAGTGCGTAAAATTAACTGCGGCGGAAGGTGTGAAGCGCCATCTAAGCTTAAGGGAGTTACACACACACACACACACAGAGAGAGTAAGCGTGAGAGCGATGCTTGGGAGAGGAAGCAAAAGACTGCAAGCTGCATCTCTTATGCAGGAGGGAGAAAGAGAACTGCCTGAGAGGGCAGAGAAGAGAAGCCTATTACTTCAAGCTGCAAGAGAAAGAGAGGGACGGCGAGGTAGAGAGAGTAAAAGAAGCCAACTACTGCAAGTTACAAGAGAGAGAAGGGCAGAAAGAGAGAAGCATAGAGGGAGAGGGCAAGAGAAGCAAACTGCTGATAGTTGCCACAGAGTGAAAGAGAGAGGACGAGAAGCAAGAGAGAGAGAGAGAAAGAGAGAGAGAGAGTAAGATAATACAAGAGAGTGAGTAAGAGACAGAAGTACATTAGAGATGGGAAGGAGATATAAGACAGGGAGAGAAAGAGAAGCAAGCTTCTGCTAACAGCAGGACAGCAAGAAGGGAGAAACCAACTCCTGCTAGCTGCAGGGGAAAGATAGAGAAATAGAGAAAGGCAGAGAACCGAATCCCTGCAAGCTGCTAGACAGAGAGAGAGAGAGAGAGAGAAAACGTAGCAAACTCTTGCTGGCAGCAAGACAGCAAGAAAGGAGAAGTCAACTCCTGCTAGCTGCAGGGAAAAGATAGAGAGATAGAGAAAGGCAGAGAACCGAATCCCTGCAATCTGCTAGACAGACAGAAAGAGAGAGAGAGAGAAAACGTAGCAAACTCCTGCTAGCAGCAAGACAGCAAGACGGAGAATCAACTCCTGCTAGCTGCAGGGAAAAGATAGAGAGATAGAGAAAGGCAGAGAACCGAATCCCTGCAAGCTGCTAGACAGACAGAAAGAGAGAGAGAGAGAAAACGTAGCAAACTCCTGCTAGCAGCAAGACAGCAAGACGGGAGAATCAACTCCTGCTAGCTGCAGGGAAAAGATAGAGAGATAGAGAAAGGCAGAGAACCGAATCCCTGCAAGCTGCTAGACAGAGAAAGAGAGAGAGAGAGAGAGAGAGAAAACGTAGCAAACTCCTGCTGGCAGTAAGACAGCAAGAAAGGAGCAGTCAACTCCTGCTAGCTTCACTTTGAGTTTCATCACTTTTTTGCAAATGATTCGAATCGAAATGAATACAAATTGATGTCTGCATCAAGTCACGGGCAAGTCCAGCGGTTGCCAAACGATAATTCTAATCTGAAATCGCGAATTTACATTGCATCTGTGAGTTGAATAGTCGAGCAGAGGAACGGGTAATTTCTGGAGCTGCCCTCGCCGTGGAACAATTGGCAGCTAATGACATTTTCATGGCCTTTGAGGCTGAGGCTCGGTTCATAAACGTTTTCGCTCATTCGACGGGGGCAGGCGAGAGGCTCCATAAAAAAGTTTGCTTAATAACGGTGGCTGCGTCTGCGGCTGTGACGTCAGAGCCTCGACCAAGGAGCGGTATATACATATTCACACATACATATACGTATATATACATATGTTCATTTATCTGTTATTAATTAACGCGGCTAAAGTGGCCAGCGGAATTAGCAGCACTTGCGTCGCCGGTTCTTCTTGTTCTTCTTCTTCTGGCTTCATTCACGGAAATTTTGATTGGGTATTCTTAAAGCTGGGCAGGAGCCGAACGGCAGCTACTGAATATTTATGAAACGCAGCACGGGCGGCACTAAAAACACAAGAAAAAAACATTTCAATATTATAGCCCTTCAGCTGAGAGAAAAGCAAGACAGAGAGAGAGAGAGAGAGAGGGGGATAAATGGCTTACTCACTCAAACGTATGATGAAAACCATGACTCCGAACAGAATGAATGTGTTGCGCACATCGGCAATGCGACGCTTCGTCTCATCCTCATTATCCGGGCAGGGCAAGCGAATCATTCCGATTAATTTATCTTGCGGCTGTGGACTCGATAGAAAATGTGAAATTTTTTGTTTAAATTTAATTTTATTTTTTTTTTTGGCGAAATATTTTCAAATATTGCAGCTCCAACTTGCTGTAGTGTTCAATGTGTAATGAATATTCATGGTGCTCCTGCTCCCCTGCTCTCGCTGTCAACTGTCAAAGGGACTCTGCCCAGGGCCAACTATGATTAGCCGCACACATTTCTCCATCGATGTCCGTAGACTCGACTTTTATTTTGAATTTTGTATGATAAAAGTTGAACGAATGGGGGAAGACAAATGACAAATGATGGACATGCTATTAGGCATATGTATGGCTTATGCATATGGCTTATGGCTTATGGCATATGTCATATCGAGAAAGGTAGAGTTAGAGTTTAGTTGAAGTAGGTATAAGGATTTGATGTCAGCTCAGACTAAAGCACCGACTCTTGCTTGGACTTCTGCTGTTACTTGGAAATCTTTATACAAGACTCCTGCTAGTATTATGAGTTGAGGTAGGTAAAAGAACTGTATGTCAGCTCTGGTCGTACCGATGTGTCGGACTGCTTACCAACTAAATCATCGGCTTTTGCTTGAACTCCTGCTGCTACCTGGAAATCTATAAGAAAGACCCCCCCTAGTATTGTCCATATGGTAGTTAATGGAAACTCAATTTCAAGCTGACTTGGTTCAAGTTCGAGTTACTAAGGATCCGACGTTGCAATAGAGTAAAGATTTGTAGCATACATTACAAACTATGTACATTATATCGTTATAAACCATTTAATTTATTTCCTCTTATACATTAAAAGTTTTCTCAATATTTTTCTGCCTTACATATGTACTTATCTAATCAATGTATTCGATATATACGATGATTTATATCGATAGCAGAGCACGCTTTGATATCAGCAGATGGACATTAAAATGAAAAATACAAAAAATACTATATAAGCGACAAATGGTTCCTCAACATAACCTAATATCAAAGCGTAGCGAAGCTGAAGTTTCACTTAAGTTTTGCAGCTGCTTTCACTAGGCAAATGACAGATTGTATTTAATATTTTGGCAATAAAATAGATTCCATAACCTAAAAAACAACTCAGATATATCAATCAGGAATGGTATCAAGTCAATCAAATAAATCCCATCATTCCTAAGGAAATAATTATTGATAAGAACTCGACTCCAACTCTATTTTATTTTTAGCCAAATGGCAAATATTTAACCTAATATTTCACCTTCGATAGCATAAAAAAAGAATAGAAATAAATAAATTAGAAGTAGTTTCACGCTTATCAGTTCACTCTATAAACGAATTTACTGATAAGAAACTGACTCCAGCTCTTTTAGTTTATCAGCTGACGTAAGCTGTGCACTCTTTCAGTGTCTTCGCTCTAAACATGTGACAGCAAATGGATTACTTGTTTCTATTCAGTTTAATCCATTGCTGTGGCGACATTTGGCTTAGCTCTTGGCCTCAAGTTTCAATAAACAGCAGCAGCAGGAGCAAAGGAGGAGCAAAGGAGGAGCAAAGGAGGAGCACAGAAATGTGAAAGTCTTGTGAAAATATTTGCTTAGCCAACTTAAGGATCAATAAGTGCGACTTGTTTGCTGTTTGCCGTTCGAGCAGGGGTCTGCAGCCAGAGATAAAGTGATTATTGATGCGGTCGAAGCGGCAGCTGGAAAATGTTTTAATTACAGCAACTTTTTGGCTCCGCTTCGGCAGCCTCAACAGCTACTGTAGTCGGTCAGTCAGTCAGTCAGTCAGTCAGTCAGTCAGTCGGTCAGTCAGTCAGTCAGTCATTGAGTCAGTTCGTCAGCAAAAAGGAAGTGTTAAGTGCAAGGCTGTTGGCAAATGCCCTCGCTCACTGTTTGGCCAGCACTCGACTGCAATTTGAAGGGCACGACGCCACATGGCAGCAGCAGTTGACAGTCGCCTGCCATTAGCCATTAGCCATTACCCATTAGCCATCAGCCATCAGCCATTAGCCATTAGCCGTTGCCATTTGCCATTAGCATGCAGTTATTTGCATATTACGCATACGCGATGTATGGCGGGCATTAGTCAGACTTTAAGACCAAGACCAAGACGAAGTCGGAGTCGGAGTCGAAATCGGAGACGTTGCATAGCCGCGTCGTGTACCTGGCGCTCTAATAACCTTGACCCAGGTGCATGATACACGCCATGCCTTTGGCCTTTGGCTGGCGAAATTTCTGTGCGTGTGTCTGTGTGTGTGTGTGTGTGTGTGTGTGTGTGTGTGCTGCGCTCGTATTGTGTTACCTTAATACACGCTGCACGCTAAGGCTAAGCTCATTATAGCCCTGAGGCCACCTGAAACCACCTGCATCGCACCACCCAACACTTAATGAGCGGCATAAATCAGCGAGTCAGTTCGCAACAAAATCCACCTGTGTGACCCAGACCCGATCCCGACCCAGACACCGACCTAGAACCAGACCGCGACGAGTGCACCAGGCACGCACCATACGTAACTCCTCCTGCTGCTGCTACTTCTGCTGCTGCTACTCCTGCTGCTGCTGCATAGCTTTGAGCTGTTAACAAAATACTATTTGATCGCGTGACGCTGCCAGATGTATATGTGTGTGTGTGTGTGTGTGTGGGGCGCCAAAGAGTCGAACGTCGGACGTCGGACGTCAACAGCGCGCTGCAATGCGGCGTATACGTGATACGCGGCTTTGAAATGAAAAATGTAAACTATTTTGCATAGTTTAACGGCAACAGCAATTGGGGTGGCATTCGAGTTATTATTTAGCGCCCACACACACTTGAGTAGGCGACCCAACCGCCATGCGTTTATCATGCAAATTGAGTCGAGTTGAAATTCCTAAACACGATAAATATGCCATAAAACATTAAGCTGAGAATCAAACGGGCCACTCACTGACATTCACTACGCAATTTGCCGTCATAATGAGAGCTGCCCGTGAGAGTGAGAGGGGGAGTGGGAATGCCAGGGGTGCGGGGCTGCCAGGAGTACTGGACTCGGCCAGAGGTCTCTGATAAATTTATGGCATTCATTTGGTGATCAATCGCTTGTCGAGGGCTGCCAGCAAATGGGAATTTGCGGTTGCAGCTGCCAGAGTCGAATTGTAAAAATGCGCGTAAAATCTCAACATTTGTGCAATATGCGGGCGGTGGGGCGGCCTGGTTGCGTGGGGCAGGTTACTAAATTGCAGCACCGCCAGCAGGGCAAGCGCCACCCAGCACCACCAACGGGCAACACAATCTGTGCGCCACAGTAATCATTTTTCTAGGCATTGTCTGCTCAAATATGCACACAGGATGTGCGCGAATGTTGTTGCGATTGCTATGACATTTTAACCTGTGACACACACACACACACACTCATCCCTGCAGGTGTGTGTGTATTATTGCAGCTGTAAAAACTGCGGCTAATTGCTTTTTGTCACAGCTCACAGATTTGCATAAAAGGCAAAATTGTGTGCGACTGTCTGTGTAATTTATATTTGTTTATATGCATATGAATACATTAAATGGACAGACAGATAGAGAGAGAGGGAGAGGGAGAGGGAGAGAAGGCTCCACAAATTATATTCACAAACAGGCGAGAGCTCGCATTTTGTGCCTTTTTAATAAACCTGACACTGACAAACAGAACCTTTAGTTTAGCATACATCGTACGCCATGTTTACCGTCTCTACATGTGTGCATGTCAAGCCCCGCCCTCTGCTGTCACACTCGCACACACACACACACACACATGTACAACTTACACTCAATGTTTGTTTGGCTGCAACTTTTTGCTGTTTGGTCGCCCGCAGGCGGCATAATAAATTTGTCAAACTCACAGCGTTTTGGCTGCTGCTGCAGCGAGTGAAGCAACTTCGGCTGTATCCACTTCAAATTTAAATTATAGTTCTTACTAGAGTAACTGCGCTCAACTATTCTAGTATATAGCCTATAGTATATTTAATAGATCTAGAAGGAGATAGACAGATAAAGAGAAGGAATGTCAACAAGCATTGGCAAGTCGCTGCAGTGCGATTATCTTTCATTTGATGGATTATAGAAGCTAAGAACTTGGAAAGGCATTTATAAGGTGGACCTATCGTAGCCGTCTGTCAGAGAAGAGCCTTTCAATTAAACAGAAAGTGAGAGCAGTAAAAGAAGATATGGAGATGCACCATAGAGAGATAGAGAGAATGAGCCCACGGAAGCCGACATTTTCACACCCACAACTCCAACCACAAATGTTGTTCCTACAGAACTGAATACACACATACATATGTACATAATTCGTAATGACAGTTGAGCGTTTAACATTTTACGCTCTGTTCGCGTAGTCAATCGAAAAATATCATGCTCACTCACTCGCTCTCGCTCTGAGCAAGGGACTGCATTACTTTTCATTTGTTTCTGTTAAGCGCCTTGAGTTAAACTGTTCGTGCTTGACGCTTCTTTAACGAACATCGTTTAGGAAGAAATGCGATTGATGTTCGTAAAATAACTCAAAAACTCAAACACTCTTCACACTTGTACCCACGCTTACATGCACACACATATGTTAAGCGAAGGCATCACTCACACACATACCAATGCATACGCTTCATTTCGCCCAAGCTAACGATTGGTGGACAAACAGAGCAAAGCAGAACTTCGAAAAACGATTGCGAGCCGATCGCGATTCGCGAACGAGCTCGTTAAAATGCCGTTGCAATCTGTCGCTCTCTGAGTCTGTTCTCAGAGTGTGAGAGGCAAGCACTTACATAGGTATGTATGTAGGTATTTGCAGGCATCGAGAAGCGCCTAACCACAATTGAGTGAAAGTGTAGTTTAACAGCGGCGATTAACAGCGTTTTACTGTGTAACGTTCAAATTATGTATGTGTTTGTATGTATGCATAATGATAATTTGACTAGAATTGTTCAACTAATAGCAGTATATCAAGTTTTGCTTTTAATAGGTAGTCCACCCTAAGACTATCATAATATGTATATGTATATACATATTCATATACATTAATCTAAATACATACATTCATATGTATATGTATCATTGTATCAACATAATATCATTAGCATAAGAGCTGTGTACAATTGTCATTCGAGACAGTCAGCGGCAGGTTGGCCAACGATTCGTCTATTAATTTAGTTGGCTAACCTACACACGTGCCCAGCTAATCAATCTAATCAAAAGCCCATCCAAATTCATGTATGGCGACCTCAAATCAAGGCCTCCGTCTCAGCTTTGTCTCATGACTAATTTAATATGTTTGCCGGAGCACAAGGGCAGGTGGTAGCAGAACTGCTGGCCGCAGGCAAAACAGACCAGAGTAGACCGGAGCAGAGCAGAGCAGAATGTGGACGACTCAGGTCACTCGAAGAGCGTAGCCAACCTCAATGTGTGGCCATTTTGAGGGCAGTTTGCCTTGTCAGTGCTTACATTAGTATTTCCATGTCAGCATTATGAATGTGAGTGTGTCTATGTGTGCTGTATGTGCGTGTGTGTTGCAGTTGCAGCTTAGTCTTGAACAGTTCAGTGTTTGCCATATGAAGTATATATGCTGAAAAATGAAGTGAACATCTGTGCAGTTGCTGCTGCTTAGACTCAATAAATCTTAGACATTTCATTTTTCTTCCTTTCAACAGTTGAGTCGTTTTTGATATGGCTTCCACTCTGCATGCGAGCCGATATTTTACAATCGAACTACACATTTGTGAGTGGATTTAGATAAGCTATGCCAAA